ACGTTTGTTATAATATTTCGTCTTTTCATCAGAGGTTGCTTATTTTACAATTTATATCAGCTAACATCTATAGATCGTATTAAGAATGTTATTAAGTATTTAAAATAAGCTATTCAAGTTCAAAAATACATATTATTTAACATCATTTTTATAGCAAGTACAGTATAAAGAACAAATTATATTATCTAAAAAAGTGTAAAAAAAATTAACTTTATTAAATTAAGCTCTAATTATTAAAAAAATAAATCTAGAGTATGTATCAAACGAATTGATAATCATAAATAAAGTTGAGATTATTAATACAAGTACCACATTTTGTGGATTAAGATACTCTTCGTGCCAAATAGAATAAATCTCCTTGAATTCTTGTTGTATATGACATTTAATTTTTTTTTGTGTGTAAAAAAATTTACATTACTGCGGGTACTTTAATCCACAAAATACGGTAAGTTTGATAATAAATTTATGTATAATTAGTAAATTAATTAATAGGTTTAACTTTTTTGGCAAATTGCCTATGAATATCAAAAGAAGGTTTGTTTTCATTTACTTCCTTACAAAATTCATTCAATAAGTCGTTAAATTCCTCACTAGACATTCCCATATACTTTGGAAGAAAAACGATACTTTCATATACTCGTTTAATGTTTTCTAATGCCTTTATAAAAAAAAAACAAAAAAAAAAGAACAAAATCAATAGAAATAAATTTAAAACCATAAATTATTAGCATACTTACAAATTTGCCAAAACAATCAAAATGTTCACCTACAGGATAATCTATAGAAAGGCAATTTATCTCATCAAGTTCGTCCACTGCCTCAAGATATTTCGGTATCATTTCATAAATAGAAATATCAACACCTTTCGTCTCCAAACAAGCTTTTGAAGCTAAAAGAATTTAAAAGAAATATTTAATAATATAATAACAAATATTAAAAGATAGATATTGATAGGCATTTTTAGTATAATAATGAAGGCATACCAGACTCAAATAGCAATTGTTCAGCCTTCCCAGGATTTCTAGAACAAGGATTTGGATTAACGAATTCAATCCAACCATCGTATTTTAAAACTCTAACGAGATCCTTGATCAGATTTAACCATTGAGATTCAGAAAAGGCACACCACATCATACTTATATGAACAAAATCAAAAGTGTCAGGAGGAAATGGAATGCCATGAGCAGCATTGCAAGTAAGAAAACAGACATTTGATGGACATCGATCAAGTGGTGGAAAGTTGGAGGAATCAATATCAATTCCTATGAAAGTAGAAGAAGGAAATTCTAAACCCATGTCCATCGCCCAAAAACCTCCGCCACACCTATTTTGTATTAAAAAGTTGGTACATTATTAGATATTATTATAAGATATTGTTATATTATTATAAAATAATGCTATAAAATATCATTACATAATACAGTAATATTATCATAAGTTATTATTTTATTATAAGGTATCATTATGAGTTATTAAATATTATTAGCTATTATAGGCAATTAAAAGTTAGTATAATTACCCAATATCGATTACAGTAGCACCCATATTCAATTTTTCTTTAATTGGCGAACAAAAATTACTTTTCCAAAGATGCTTCTTTAATATATGTGACAAAGTTAATCTTGCAAACTCTAATTTATCAGATGGTAATATATAATTGAAATCAACAGCATTCAAATATTGTCTTCCGTTGTACGTCTTATACGAGTCTAATAACAGAGAAGTTACTTCATCTAGATCCTTTTTTTCAACATTAAAATCATCAATGCGTCCTAAAGCATGTCTTCGGACTTTTTTCTTTTGAGTGCCAGTAGGAGAATTTTTAGATTTATTTGACATTATTGATATTTAATATTATATACTTAATATTTACAAATTTATAAGATTTTTCAAATGGTTTTGAAGAGGAAATAAAAAACGTGTTGAAAAAAGAATTCTTTTATAAATAGCTTGGTGAAATAAAACGTCAAAATACGTGATATCAAAAAAAAAATTTATTATCCAAAAACAAAAAGATTGTTTATTTGCTGCATGGAATAGTTTGGAATTTTGCTGCATGGAAAAGGTGCATTATAATTGGTCAGTAAGAGGTTCGTACATTTGTTTTGTTTTTTTTAAAAAAAATTATTGTAGTACATATAAAGCATATGAATGTATTTGCATCCAAAATGTAGGTATTAATGGTGATCATAAGTACATACGTACGAACGTATGTATTAATGGTGATCATAAGTACATACGTACGAACGTATGTATTAATGGATAGTTAAGATATTAAATTACGTAATCATAAATTTAATTTAACGATGAACGATGCATCATTTTGTCCCTAGAATTTACAGACGTAAACACGTACGTACGTGCGTATGTAAGTTAAAGTAAGGAAAGAAAATATTTGAAATTTTTTTAAATTTTAAAGATTAAATAAGGATAACAAAGTAATTGAATAGGATTTTCCAGAATCTTACTGTTCTCAATATAGAAAATAAAAAAAAGATTGCATTCGCATGTGTTAATATACACGAACCAGTAAATTGATGCATTAATTTCCAAATTAAGATGCTGTATAACATCAAATAAAACAGTTATTGATAATTTAGTAAGCGCGGTAAAATATAATCGCATACCCGAGTAATTTATGTTGAAGCTTCTATAAATAGCATGTTGTATCTCAAATTAATAATGTCACTTAATCTTAAAAATATCAAGAATTAAAGGATCGGCTAAAATTAAACACACTAACTTTAACCTAACTTTGATAGTGCATTGAGACAAATTTTAGCAGATAGTGCAGTATATACGTATACTGGCATACGATAATACTTTAGTTATCCTGGTACGTACGTACATACGTACGCACGTACGTAAGTATGTACTGTACGTACGTACGGACGTATGTAGCCTAATAATCCTAATAATCCTAATAATCTGCGCAGATCATGGATTGACTTAAAATTTTTAGTAATACAATCTCCAAAAGTGAATATAATTAGAGTTTTAGGATAAGGTTCAGGGGCTAGAACTAGTTTAAAGTTAAAATTTTAAATGTATGCAATTAAGCGTCTTCCTGCCAAATTTGTATTTTTTATGTAGGGGCTTGTTTATTATAAGAATTTGTAATATGCAAACATGCACTACGAATATTTATTTATTTAGCTTAAATATTTTGTATTACAACTAAAAAAAAAAGAAATAGAAAAGAAAAAGATTATAAGGTTCTATATAGACATCATATAAAACAAGCATTGCATTATTAGTAGAGTCGTGAATGATAATCTTTTACTTCCGAGAATATAAAAAAAAACTGCGCATATATTTAAGTAAAAATACTCTCGAAGTACTGGAATCCTAATAATGTTAGTACGTACATACATATGTACCAAATTACGTAGTGATGGACAATTATTACCAATAAAATTGATTATTACCAATAAAATTATAGCTTGAATATAAACATATATATTTATGTAGGTACTGTACGCACGTACGTATGCACACAAACTTACATAAGTAGCTATTGTCACAAAACAAGTACGATATTTAGCTTCGACAATTGATGAAGAATTATGATAATGCATCGGGAAATTAAATATTGCAAATATAGTAGTAGTACGAATGCTAATCTCATTGAAATAATGAATTATTCCATTATTGTACAAGCATACTCAATATTCACCTTTTAACGCAAATTTCAAATGGTAATACTCTTTAAATATTCTGAGGTACGTATGTACGTACCATTTTAGTTTACTTATCTGTTATATAGTAGACCCTTCATAAATGACCTTCCATAAGTGGGGAAATTTGCACTTATGGAGGTCTAAGTCCGAATTTTTAATAAATTATTTGATCATTTTTATTGTACTGATCAAATTATGTGCGCTTATGAAGGTAAAATCACGTGGACGTGCACTTATGGAAGGTTGACTGTAGTTGTTTACATATGTTCAATTTTAAAACTTAGGATTATTTGGCAAAATTATAATTATTTAATTGTGCTACAAATAAATATGTAGTTGTGCGTAAATGTATGTAGCCGTAACTAGGGTAGTTATCCAAATTCTATATGACGTTGCTGGGTAACTACCCTTGACTTGACAAATGTCTGTATCTTTAATTGTGCGACATGGTTATGTCAAACCAGAAATTGATGAATATGTTGTGCCTCAGACTAATGCTTGCCTCGGATCACAACTGACGCACTTCAGATGCAGATAATCAGGCGAGGTGCGTAACCTATCTGTTTATCATCTAAGCTGCAATCTAATGAAGGTAAGGGAGTAAAATAAATTAATAAAAGCCCTTTTGCTTAGGATCTTTTTATTCTTGGTTTCTTGGATCTCTACGGCGTTTTTTTTTACTGATAGCATCCTTTAATTTAAATCACTTTTGTGTTTATCTTAACTCCAATAGCATTCTATATCTTGAATAACTTTGCTCTCATGAATCTCTTTGCCAACAGTAACATTATTTTACATTAAGTTTCTTCAGTATCTCCGTTCTTTTCTTTGAATTGCTTTGCCTGAATTTTTATGACCATTCTATTTCCAATTAATACATTTTTTTCTCTATTCATATAGTTTTTTTCTGTTTTGGCCTAAATTTTCGCAACATATTCTGTTTAAGTTTTTTCAGCACATTCAATCTTCAATAATTTCTATATATATAATTTCTTTTTGTCTTATTGACTGATCGATAGATTATGCATCTCACCTAGAAATGTGTTGCTTACAGTACAGTACACAAACAATTTTTTAGAATAAAATGTATTATATTGGTATTTTATTAATATTCCACTAGCAATTGCTATAAGCATAAATAATATCAATATAATACGTTTTATATATTATACAAGGTTTCTATAGATTTATATTAAGTATTGAATAGGTCAATGATTTTTTTTTATAAAATACTAATCAACCAATATTGCTAAAAAATAATCTAATAAACTATAGAAAAAATTAAGAAGAATCCGTGGCATTGGTTATCTGATTAGTATGAAATATAGAAATCTTATGAACATTGTCTCTTCCATGGATTGGGATGATTTTACAGCAGAAATTGAAGTAATAAACGATAGTAACTACCATTTGGACGAAAAATCTAAAACCGATCATGAAAGAGTACAATAAAAACCTTGATTGAAGATTCATCCCAAAACCAAAAGAAGAGATAATCATCATGTTTTTCATATTTATAATAAGCCATGAAGATCCAGAAGGATAAATAATTGTAATAATTATGATAATTGTAATTGTAGATTATATTGATTTATAATTTCTTATTTTATATAAATCAGGTTAAAAAAATTTTGTGGCTAGCCAATCAAGTCAGTGAAAAGGTTTTAAAGATTAAATGTATCAGAAAACAGTGGTACAATGACGAAAGATGGTTTGATAAATCAAAATCACCACTAGATAATCCTTCTACCTGGACCATTTTAACCACGTATCATTCTGAAGAAGACGATGAATGAGATAATGATGGTGATGATGGTGATGATGATGATAATAATGATGATGATGAGGTGGATGAACTAGAAAGTGATTCAGAACTTGACGATAATGCCAACACAAGTGGTAGTAGTACTATCAGAAGTAATAATATACCGAAAAAAGCCAGTGTAAATGGCAATAGTACCGGAAGTAATAATATACTGAAAAAAGCTGGTGCAAGTAGCAGTGGTGCTGGAAGTAATCATACACCTAAAAAAGGAACTAAAGAAGATGGTTCTGACAATAAGAGTGCAATTTGTTGATTCAAGGTATTCACTGATTAACAACATAGTTTTACAAAAACAATACGTAGAATTAAATTTATATTCTTATATTAGCACATATTGCATTTTATCAGTTCAATAGTTATATTTCCATATGTATTATTGCTTTTAGCATAGCGATATAATTATATGTATTAATACTATAGTAAATTGATTGCTTTAAAAATGTAGCTAATTGAGTATATATAAATAATAAATAAGTATTATATTAGTTAATAGCCATATTGGAAAACTGTGAGTGCTTAAGATAAAGCAATAAATATCTGGTAGTTTACCGGTAGTCTTAAATTTAGAAATATATCGGATTATCTATAGGCATATCAATTTAACTAATAGGTGCCTTAATTTTTCTTTTTTTTATTTTATTCCTTACAGATAGGTGCCCTATATCTGCCAAATTTCTGATAGATATAGGAGTAATGCTAGTTAAATATCGGTTATAGCTATCGATTCATTTCCATTGTCTCTTCAGGAACCTTTCAGATCATATCAGCATTCCGATAGTTGGCCAGTATGC